CCGCCGGTGAAGGGGGAAACCAGAAGCCCTGTTTTTTTTTTTTTTTTTTTAACAGCTGTGAGCTTTTTTGTATTTTTTGCCCGTGGCGGTTGGGGCAGACGTACCTGGTCATTGAACACGGGCGTGTCGTTGCCCGCTGCGGCAAGGCCCTTGATTGAGGCTATTCGCTGGGCTGTTTCCCGGTCGACAACCTTGTAGAAGAGGGCGTGAGAGGAATCGGCCAGCGCGAGATGCGCGGCCGCAAGGAGCAGCAGTGTTTTGAGAGACATGGCTCTGCGTGACTGGTTCAAGAAGCGTTCAACACACGGCGGATATGGCTTGGGGCGTTGCGAAACCGCATCTTTATACGGCACAAGTCCCGTCTTTGCCGTGATCCGTGCTAGAGTTGCATCCGGAGTTGACCGTTGACCTTCTCGTTTGAGCGGATCTGCAGCGGCACTAACGATCCATCGGCTGCATTGTGTACGAGGACACTTGGGGCGCCAGGCTGGTGGTGAGGTCCAAAGGACAGCATACTGGGGACGGCTGTTCAACGCAGATGGTGTCAGATATATACGGGTTCCAGTGGGCTTCTTCTTGTTTGTGTAGACGCCGCGTGGTCTTTTTTTGTCATCGGGCGCCGTGGTGATCATCGTCGACTTTTGCCCGAGACAGCGCGCGCCGCAAATCGACATGATCTACAAGTACGGCACCGGCTATGCCGAATGGGGCAGGCTGGGACTCAAACTGCCACTTTGGAATTGGTCGGTAAGGTCCTGTGGAATTCTTGAGTTTCCACAGTACTCGCGCCTGTTATTGAAGCCCGGGTTGCAGGAATGGCTGTGTTTGTCGCCTTTGCTACATGAATGGTGCTGTTGACAGGTGGCGGGAGAACATGGACGACACCAGGCGATGGAGGGATGGCCAAGACACACCAGCGGCGCTTTGTACCTGTTACGCCAGTCTGGCCTTCGATCCGTTCCAGCGGTCGGGTCAGCTGGGCGATCTTAAAGAAGCTATTAGCGCCGAGAAACGAGCTCGCTAAGAAACGAAGGCAGGAAGCAAAATTTTGCGTCGAGAACTAATTATACAGAGATTTTAACGGGCACTCAATATGAATAAATAGGAAAGATTAGCGATCTTGAAGAGGCATTTCAATTTTTTCAACAAGCGCTTGAGCTTATACCTGACGATCATCCCAACCTCTTAGCTTATGCAAACAGTTTTGGAAATATCCTTTAATGCTGATATGAGCGAATGCCAGAAAGGATGGCTGTTGATGGGACGATGGAGGCGGCGCTGCTGAATGAAAAGCTGCTAACCTTGCCCGCTAAATACAATACGAGAGGTCTCCGAGCAGAGGTGAAAGGGTCCGACGATAATTGCATGGACTAGAAAATAAGGCAGGCTGTGTTCGACGACCACAGGCTAACAACCATGTCGAGAATTGCACTGAGAGTATTCGAAAGCTCCCAAGGTTCCACGAGTTTCAGAAGGCTCAAATTGTTACAAGGGATATGAGGCATGATGGATCTGGATCTGATGGAGGTCCTCTACTTTTGGTAGTTCAACACAAACAAAGAAGGCTTCAGAAAATGACAATATCATTGTTGTCAGCATCACTAGCCTCAGAAGAGAGGCCATCATTATTTCAAGGGCCGGAAACAGTGCAATTCAACTTGATCAAGTCAATGCCTGCTGCGCAATGAGCTGACTAGAACGAAAACCTCACGCAACGCCCTCGAAAGACGTCGCTAAAAATAAATAAAAATCTCATGTTCGGTTCTTTTTTTCTTGAAGAGGCTCAATACAAGTCACAGCGAAATATGACTCGGCTTCCAGGAGTTTGATGGAGTGGAACTGGCCTTGCCAGCTCATTCCCATTCCATACTGCAGTCAACGGATCAGTTGGACCAACGGAACGCACATGATGCTGGGCAGTCTCACCACAGAGTTCTTCTATAAAGGCCCTTGGGTACGCCAGGGGACGCGCTCCCGCCGCTACTGCCAAGCGCCAACTGCGGCAAGCTGCTCGTTGTCCCGATGGCTACCACTCCGGATGCAGGCAGCTTGCGGTGAGTAGGCAAAGAGAAGGCGGCGGCTATAGAAACTTTAGGGGATTCTATTGCTGTGGAATTTCTCGAGCAACCCGATGTTGCGAGCGCTTTGGATCGTATCGAACAACCCACTGGTACGCACGTCGTCTGCCATGGGATATTAAACCCTACCGACCCCCTCTGCATGCGGATCGTTACTGTAGACACCTACTAGAGAGCCGAAGCAGGGCATTCTTAGTGTGAGGAAGATATCTCAGACTCATCTGGCTTATGAAGAAATTGCATACCTCCCTGCACGCTCAACTGCGGAGAATCAAGCCGTAGAGTTGGTGATGGCGCTGCACTTGATCAGCCTGCCGGCTTCCAAGTAGCCGGTATCAGGCATTGTATCGGATACTTATAGCAGTCTAGCGATACGATGTGCATGCAGGTCGCTAAATTGTTCGACTTTAAGCTAACAAGAAGAGATGGTGTCGCCAATGGTGATGTGGCTGTGAGGATGGAAGGGCGGTGGTGAAGATTTGTGACAGCGAAGAGTACAGCAGGAGACTTCTACCATGGGCAGAGTATGTGCCTTATTGGACATAACCAGACAATACCTGACTCTCATGCACACGGGAGAGCAACTAGAACCTCTCAGGGGACAGGCTCTTTAGGGACGTGGTCGATTCTAAGGGGCTGTGTAGAAGCATGATTGGGGTTTCTAGCTGTGGTTGCATAAGGTCTAGTAGTCGATGCTCTTCGAGAGTTGCGTTTCTATAAGCTACCGTATCCGATATAGTATATACATAGCTGACTTTCGCCCTTGTCATGAATGCAGTGGCCGCTGACATCATTCTTATTGTCAAGGCCTCATCGTCCGCGACGGTCTTGTTAAGATGACCAAGGTCGTGCTCGTTAGTATCATTAAACAAGTCCGAATGCGAGCCGCAAGAGGCGGCACTATTCGGTCTGCAATCAGAAATTGAGGAATCTCGCCATGTAATCCAGGTAGGGTCCTGGCCATTGTGCAAGTCCGGCATACGAAGAGGACACCATATCTGCCGCTGCTACTTCCCTGGGGCCGTCATAAATATATTCAACACCATTCACGCTCCGGCAGATAAATTAGGTAGTTAATAGACTAAATTAAACGGTTGAAGAAGATACAGCCCTAGATCCCAACTTTGCATATAACCTGGGCCGGCTTACTAGAGGCTCGTTGAAAAGACAGAGCTGGTCCGGACTAAACAGAGACTCGGGGGGGGGTTACCAGATGAGACAGATCCGGCCACAACGAAGGAACACGAAAAACGTCAGGACAGTCAGGAAATGGCGGGGAAATGGTTCAACATGGGGAAGAAGGTTCACTCTGTAAAATTCAGCGTACGGTGGAAGTGGTAGAACAGACGGCCAACAACAGCGCGGGCGCTGAGTTTTTGAGACAGCTAATGGAGCACGTAAGCTACGGCTTGGTGGAAAGATAGGATCAGCTGATAGTATATATGTAAAGGCCGGAAGACGGAAAGGTGCGAGGATTGGGCCATACTATTCTAAGCATCACTTTGTTATGGTGGTACGGCATCTGCAAAAGCGAAGACAAGTGCGGAAAACCGTGGGACGTATTTTTTACGCATGGAGCTGCAAGGCGTGGAATACGACAGCTGGACTTGGCTGAGACACCATCAGGTGCGTTCGGGCTTACATGCCAAAAGCACCCAATCTCTTCACTTGTATACGTTCGATCATACCATGACTGCCATTTTGCACTTTCCATTCTGCACTCTTCAGCATGTGGCAACTATTCTAGCGATAGCAACTGGGCTCACTCTCATCACAGTGTGTGAGATGTTCACCAACGAAGAGCACAGAATATACCGAGAGTATGGCAGGAAGCACCATGGGCCTAACAGATGTGGTACGGGGCGCAATTCGCGCTACTGGTTTGGCACGGAGACGGGATGTTGGGAGAACTAGGGCCAAGAAAACTAGACTTGGTCACTGATTTTATAATATAGATGCAGTTGTCGATTCGCTGTGGGATAGGAAGCCCTTATTGTTCCCGCTGCCGCAGTACAATGCCTATGTATAAGTTTCACAAGGGGAGCGTTACGAAGAGATTATCCATGAGGGCAGGGTATTCATGGGCTGGCGATTGTGGGAAGATTATATAGTTGTTGGAAAAAATATGTAATATTTTAGCAGCTATGGTAATAACTCGTAAGGATCTACAATTTTTGCCTCTGGCTTAGTTGGGATTTCTTCAATAATAGTAGCTAGGCAACTATAGCTCAGATTTCCACCAAAGTCTTTCCAGGGAAGAATGTGAGGAGCCACTTCAACAGGCCACCGCCGTTCTCATACCAAGTCCATTAAATGAAATCGCCTCTTGGAACTATATCCTAAACCTTTTAGCCAGTTGGCTTGGAGGGCAGTCGTAGATTCCCTCGCCTGGGCCTCTACAAAGGACTTTCGCCTTAAATTATGATGCTTTACTTGATCTTTCCCAAACATTATGGACTAAGGAGCTGCTGTACTATAATAATTCTTTGCATATATTCACTTCAATTATAGCCGATACTGTTCCCATAACATTGGTGAACTAGCTGAACCACAGAGGCACATGCTCTGTAAGTACATGCACACGAACTGAGTGGTTAATGGAGTAAATGGATGTGTAGGTTCAAAGGAGGTAATAACATAATGTTCCAGGCTTCAGAGTTGTTTATGGGCCTGAGATATGTCAGGATAAACATAAGGAGAAGGACACATTTCCTGAACGAAAGCAAGAGCTCAAGGCATATGGCGTTCCCCAGGTATTGCCATGGATTCCTTATTCTCGCCCATTTAACGTGGCCCAACCATTGTGAGCAGCCTAATCTGGCCATTACAATTAACTAATGAGGTTTGGATAAATAGAGTCCATATACCAACCAGGGTATAGAGTCTTGACGAGACTTATAAGTGGACCTCAATTAAGATTAAGCTTATCGTTAGTAAATTGGCGTTGAATGAGGGTTAGGGTTGGCCTACCTGGGCCGTAGTAGTAAGCTGGGCTTTGAGTAGTCTCCGACAGATATCTTCATGTCAGCTTTCTAGATCACACCCTTGCAACGCCTAGTAAGCCAGAACTGCTCGAGGGCTGATGGCACCAGTGAGGTGGACGTGCCATGAACCGATAAGCTTTTTCTGTAAGATTCAAAAACTCGCCAAATATAGCTCATGGAACAATCGCAAACCAGACTTTTTCACCATGCTCGGTGCTGCTGCCATGAATCGAATTTGCGAAAGATTGGGGGCTGTGAAGCACTGAAATGCAGCCTTGCAGCCTCCAGGCGACCAATACGCGTTGTCGTCCCAACAGATAACCCGACCATGTCTCACCACGGGAGATGGTGAAATCTAACCAGACTCATTCAGACCCTTCACTACACTCCGTAAACGCTCCTGGGATATCAGGTGCCCCAAAATATGCACAAAAGAAGCCCATTCCGCCGTTTTCACTGGACATATCTTGTTGCAAACTACTCCGTACATCTGCGTAGTATCTGTCCGAGACTCTGGCACTCGTGACTGATTCCCTTCAACCACATGCGACCAGGTGAGCCTTGTCATCAGCTGAGCCCCCACCGCTTTGCATCATGCCGGAACATACAATGGCTACAAGAATCCTCCGCCATGTACAGGTCCAACTTCCATCCTCGACTCGTATCCGCATGCGCATACGCATCCTCACCGCCGACCTCATGTCTAGATCAACGCAGTGGAAGGCCATGACGGTCATGACCGTCGATGGCTTCGGCTATGCTCTGGCCAAGTCCGCGCAGACTTTTCTGATCGAACAAGCTCTATGTCGAAGCTTCTATGCCATCAGTGACCCCGCCGTCATCCGCCCGGACGGTAGTGTGCCCGAGGACATGTGCAAAACAGAGGACCTGCAATCACAGGTCGCCTTCTTGTCCAGCACGCTCAACTTTACGCTCTTGATAGCCAGTACGACATCTAACTTTCCTAATATTATTATTATTTCTCGTCAAGTATACCTGATCCTCGCCAGTTAACTAGCATCTTCCTAGGCTTCCTGGCCACACCGGTATTTGCCCGCTTGGCGTTGACCGTCGGAAAGAGGACTGTCCTTCTCATCAACGCGGCGAGCTACATGTTGCGTATGATATTATTCACGGCCGTGGGTGAGTAAATTCTCATTCTTGCGGTCCAGCCCGAATCCGGGTGTATATGCTTTGGCGAACTGACACACCCGATGCCCAAGTTTACTTCTATACCTTCACCGACGTCCGCTGGGTGCTTTTGCTGTGGGTTCTTGAGCTGGTGGGAGGCGGGATGCCAGTACGAGAGGTCTTGCTGTGGATGTACATGGCGGAGAGCGTCCCAGAAGACAGACTGTAAGCACGGCTTCTTTCTGCTCCCTGTATGCCGGCCGGCCACTGATGTGAACTGACATGTCTTGTGCCGCTAGAACGGGTGCTTTTAATGTTCTGAGCGCCATTCTGATTGGCATGATGTCTGTCGGGACTTTTATCGGCGCTCTGCTTCTCAGGCAGCATATCTGGCTGCTGTGCTCGATAGTCATCTGCATTTGCGCCCTGGTCATCCTATTGATCTGCCTGCTTCCAAATCATCACAAATCTCTCTGTTCCGAAGAAGAAAACGTCTTGGATGGTGAGGACAGTCCCCGTTCATCCGCCTCACAGGTGTCATCACCAGCCACTTCGCTTCTCAATGGAGAGCAAGATGGCCGCATCGCCTCGCAACGTCCTCCCCCCTTATGGCAGACCGTCCTTCGTGCTGCCACGGTTGATCTGCTGCTCTCCATACAGTTCGTCGTGCAGGCGCTCCAAAATCCTCTCACCCTAAGAGTCATGAGCATATTTTTCACCTACACCTTGGCCGGGACTGTTTCGGGCACATCCCAGCAATGGGCCTCGAGCACTTTTCATACGAGCCTGGCCGACGTGGACAAAATCACTTCCATGGAACAGATCATCTCTGCCGTTGTCCTGTTTTCTCTGCCCACCGTTTCGCAACGACTGCTGCGACCACGCTTGCGTAGCAAACAGAACACAGACCTTTGGGTCATCACAGCCAGCTTGGTATTTTGTGCGTTTGGCGCCCTGGTCATGTCCTTGGCGCCGTCTATTGGCACTTATGCTCTGGGGGTGGCCGTCTCTGCCCTCGGCGTTGGCCTGGCCGATTCATTGCGGTCGTTCGCCACCAGTGCCTTATCCGACACCGAGACGCTTGAAAGCCTCTACATGAGCATCCGCACCATGCAGTCATTGGCAGCTATCGTCGGCACTCCGCTGTGGGGAGGCATTTTCCTTCTGATCTTGAAAAGCGACGGAGGATTGCCGCCTGGCCTTCTCTTCTTCGCTACTGGTTTCGTCTTGCTTGTCTCCCTGTATTCAACGATACCGTTGCGCGGGTATAGATAGAAAGCATAATGTGATGTTGTATCTACAAGCGGAGATGGGCTGGTGAGGGACTCTTTGTTGCAAGGATAGAGCAAAGTTAGAATCATATTGCTCTCTTCAAATTCAGGGATGTGGCCACCGCCCCGGGTGTCCTGATTAGACCTGAATAGCTGGGACGCGTGTAACGAACCTTGCTACGACTGTGATGGGTGACACTACAGATGATGATGATGATTACACGATATCATTTAAACTTTGCACTAGTTATGCAAGATTTGACATAGAAAATGAATTTAGATTGAACTACGTGCGAGACACCAATAAACCTCCCAGTCATCATCAGATCAATTTCAATAAGCATCAGTTATTCGCTTCATGCCACCGCAATCGAGTGTGATGAAGTAGCGATTCAATTGAGGGACGGTGAGACTTTCTGTACTCGGCCAAGTTCCGATCAACGAGTGACTGCCTTATCTGGGAAAGCGCATCTGCTGGCCCGTACAGAGGCCTGAGACAATGCGCCATGTGAAAACCGCCGTGCCATGGCCACGACACCATTTGGTCGACAGGATGGCAGATGTCTGCCTACGCGTTGGCAACTAAGGGCCAGCCAATGAGTTGCGCTCGTCCACTTGGTCGCTCAGGGCTTACCGAGTTCAACAACTATCAATATGAAATTCTAAGGCCCTTGGACGGTGGGCCGAAGGCAGTCCCTGAATTATGAATTAGTACAGTGGGTTCGCAGTAATTCCGAAAAACGCCCACTTTTACACTAAAACTTATACTTTTTAAAAACATATAATTTTTTTAAAAAATATATTAAAATATAATTTTTAAATATATAAAATATATTAAAATATAATTTTTAAATATATAAATAATTAATTACT